ATTGTTACTTGTTTTCTGTTTGTCAACAGCAAGTGCTGTTTTGCGGTTTGTTCTTTTTTTCTTTTTCTTGAAATGTAAATGTGCACAATCAAAATAGTTTTGTGAAAGTCCTGAACGCAGACACGAGCACGATGTTTGGTTAAAGGCGAGCTTGATGTGGACAAATGCACTCAGCTCAGAACGGTTTGCTTTTTCTCGTCGCTTTCGTTTCCGCCTCTTTTATTCGCTCCGACAATTTCGGCTTTTGTTTCTAGGTCTTTTGTCTCCGCACAGGAAAAGTAAGCCTCACCGTACCCTGCTCCTATACGGGATCTCGTGAGGGTAGCGTTCATCTGTCCTGCTGTTCCACGGGGTTCGTGGAAGCCTTATGAAATCCAGTTGCGAACACGGTAACATTTTCTGCCCAACTGAAAAATAAAACAAAACCGAGACCTATGAAACACTGAACCCTTCCCTCTTCTAATCCTTATGTTTCCACCAGCTTTATGCCTTTTGATTTTGGGTTTGCCGTGTATGTGGTTCTGGGGCGGCCTACGTCTGTTACCTCTTTAGTGGTGTCATTTTTCTTATTGGTATCTGTGACGTCTATATCACGCGGACAAGATGCTTACTGTAACTTATCAACAAGCAGTTTGTTTGCTGAAGGGTTTTTTTCCTTTTTAAAAAACTTGTCACCCTAGTCCACCTCGACTCGTTTTCCCTTAAAGACCCCCCCCCCCCCCCAAATCTTTCCTGGTCCCAGAAATACGACCCCCCCCCCCCCCCCAACATCAGCTTAAAACTGCAACCTTCCAGCGAGTTCTAATGTTAGGCCTGAGCCCTTGTTAGTGCTTCCGCGGCAGTGGGCATGGTTACGGTGTACACAGATTTCAAAGTCTCTTGATTGCAAAGATTAGGCATGCAGGGTGGCCGGTTGCAGCCTTTGTGCGCATGGGTTATGATCGTTGTGTGCACATAATGTGGCAGCTCGTATAACGCACTGGGCTCTCGCGCCTCGAGTACTGGTAATTGGTAATGGTTTCAACTACTCTGAGCGGATGGTTGGGGGGTGCCACTGGTAGATCCTACTTCTTTACTTTCCCTCTGTTGTTTCTGTCCCTCTTTCTTAGTTTTCCCCGCCTCTGAATGACCATCAGTGTGTCTGTGTGCTGTTCTTTACTCAAATAAGCAAACAAAACAATAGAGACGTTGGGTGTGTCTCGGGTTTGGGTTGCGGGTGGATGGAGTACATGTACATGTACTTCTTTTTTCCCCTCTATTGTTTTTGTCTGTCCGTCTTTTTTCTTCCTGCCCTTGCTGTATATGGCCGTTTTTGTGTCGATGTGCTTCTCTTTACTCAACAATAGATACGGGTTTTTAGGGTCATCATATCATCCGCCACCAACAGACTGTTGGTCATTGTGCTCGGGATACTTCCTTTGTGAGTGCGAAGTGACCAACTAGATGCAAAGATATAGTGTTCCACCTAGTTAAAGTGCTTTAGTACATTTAAAGTGTTTTAGTGGGTGGTTGGCAAGTGCTCTGGTGTGGTTTGCTTCTTCTTTCCAATCAAACATCTATCGCCCTTATCTCCCCAACTTCTTTTTTATGTTTGTTACTTTCTTGTAACACTTCTAATCTTTTGGCGCTCATATGACCTTGTGCAGTTGCGAGCGCCGTAAAACCTCTACTAAAAAACTGTTTTACATTGCAAGTGTCTGTTCTCTGAAATAGTCTCTTCCGCGATTTGGAAACGAAGTTGTCTTTTAGGGAATTCAAGATGCCCGATAAGAAGCTTTATGAATGGTACTAGATCTAATACCAGCAGGGCACACGGGGGGCAGCCTTCATTGATTACTGGCAATTGTGAATGGTTCTGCTTTGGTGACTTGTGACAAATTCACACTTTCAGCACTGGCGACCTCGTGCACCATGGCGAACGGTTGATCAATGGATTTGTCAATTGGTGGTTACGTTGTAATCACATCTCTGCTACTTTTTATTGTTGGATAATAACTATTCTTGTTTGTTTATCACAGAAATAAATACTGAGAGTGGAGGGCCTACGGCATACTCTTATTCCTTTTATCTTGTCGGTCCCCCGTTGTGTAGTTGAGATGATTGCGGAGCATGTGTACTTCCATTTTGTAATGGTTGGGGCTTTTGCACCAGGTGCTTATCTCTGCCTTGTTCTCGCTATTACTTCAGTTCCGTCGATTTGCATATCACAGGATGATGTCAAAACACCAATTATGTTTGTTTGTGGACTCCTTTTTTTCTATTTGTCCCCTCATTATAACTTCTGGAAGACTCATCGATCAAGACTGGGGTCAGGTGCATGGTGAAACGACTGCGTTGAAATTGCTGTTTCCCCCCGGTTATGTGGTGGGTAGAGCAGCAATTTTCCCTTAGTCACTCTACCTGGGCGTGGGTATACCAGCACTGAATAGACTTCTCTACCTAAGTCGGCAGTCGATTTTAATTGGCTGCGTCACCCTGCCAGCTCGTCTTCCCCTCAAAGAAACCGATAAATTTAATGGCTGGAGGCTGCAGCAGCTTTTGTTACCCCCGCCACTGTTTGTATTTCTTTTTTTTTTCTTTTTTTTCTTCTCTCACCTCACCAGTTTCATTCTTACACCACCCCCACACCACACCCCCCCCTCTCCCCCGGTCTTTCCTGAAAAAGACAGCACTGCTTACCCAGCTTCCAAGATCTTCCTTTCTGCTTGGCTCGAATCGATTCTCTACCATAACCGCAGTCTATTCTTGGACCTGCCTCCCGTCAGACTCGTACCCAGTCAAACCTGGCAGGCGGCGATCTGGGCTGGATGCGCTTAATGCTGTCTGCTAGGGAACCATCTCTGGAGCACAGATTATTTGTGATTCACCTTTCATTTAACCCGTTTATTTTACTGACATGTTTCCTTGGGTCTTTTGTGCATTCTACGTTATGCTTCCCTCTTAGCACATTGCTCCTCATTCCCATGTCTTTGCTTTTTTGTTTCATGTTTTCAGTGATAGCACTGTTGCTCACAGCTAAGTGAACAAAAAACGATGCATAGATCCAATCTCATTTTGGGGGTGTGGTTTAATTATTATTTTTTTTTTTTCATTTTCATCTTCTCTTTCAACACGTCACCCTTCTGCCAATAAATGCATATTACCGTAACTAGAAAGTTGCAGCAGGGAAAATAAAACTAAAGAAAAAGAAACGTTGAATACAACAGAATAGCTCATAACTGTAGACTTGTTCAAAATGGTAAGACAATTGCTTGTAGACCCGGGG